TTGATCCCAATTCTCACTAGATGATCCAAGAACAAAGTTCAATTTAAATAAATATAACATATTAATTAATATTATATTAATATTAATAATAAATTAATATTAATATAATATTATAAATTATATTAATTAATATTAATTGATTTGTAATTAATTATTATTACATATTTATTATAAATTTAAATAAATATATAACAATTTAGTTTATTATAACTAAAGGAGGTTTGTTCAAAGAGGTTAATAACACATCTTGATCGTTCTTGATTTTGCTTTTTATTTAGTGTCAAGTTAAAATGTGGTCATCTTAGCTGAAACGAAACAATTGATCTTTTTTTTTTTTTCTTTTACCTCTTTGCCTAAGAAGCAACGTTTGCGACGTTTCGCGGCCTCGGAGAACGTCTTTTTTGCGAACACCTTCACCGATCAGCCGCGCGGCAAGGAAACGCGACGCGAGAACTCGATTAGGTGGATGATTGCGAAAATCAGGAGGGTGCGAGCGGTGCGAGCCTCGACCCCCGAAGAATCTCGCGTGGTTCGCGAAAACCACGACGGATTCGAGGGGCGCGGCGTGGCTTATGTTCAGCTTCAGCAATTTTTGCAATCCACTTTTCCCGCCGCCTCGTCCGCCGGAATACCCTTTCAAAATGGCGCCGGTTCGCATTCATTCGCGTCACACCCTGCGCTGCCCATTCGCATTCACCTCCGCTCCTCTCCCTCACTCTTCATCCCCCTTTCAGCCTTCCCCTCTCGATATTCCTTTCTCTCTGTCTCTTTTTTGCTCCCTTTCTCTCTCTCTCTCTCTCTCTCTCTGCCCTTTCCTTCTCTTCGTTCACTCGCTTCTCACTTGGCCCATTAGAGAGCAAGTTTATTACGAACCAGAGTGCGAACTTTTGTGCACTTTGCGGAGAATTCGATGGCGTAAAGGCGCAAGAGTGTAACAAGATAGAAATATATACGAAATATCCAAAATACGACATTTCGTGGGTGAAAGAAGAATTCTGTGGGTACTTTATTTGAGTGATATTGTCAAAATTGTTTGGAGCACGCGTCGATTTCATATTCGTAAAGTATATTAATTTAAAGGGACAGTGTGACGAGTCTAAAAATTACATATACATTGGAGGGCTAGTGAAAAGAAAGTACATATTTGATTGGCATGAGCTTTTGTCGTTTATTTTAGCACATTGTGAACTATAAAAAGCAACATTGAAAGAGAAAAAAAGAAGGCTCTTATTTAACTTTTTAACTGCATCTTTTTACGTAACTTTGTTTTATACTGTCTATCGGTGTGCATGATTCCAGGCAAACAGGATCAGTTGCAACAAAGAGGCAAGAAAAGTTCAAAAGTAAACAATATTCTCTAGGGATTGACGATCCAACATTTTCATTTTTGTGAGAATTATGAAAATGGCAGCTATTTGTTTTTGATGTGTCGAATTTATGCCAAAGATTTCTACGTTTTTTTGTTTATACTTTTCGAAATTGTTGCAAATTAGAAAATGTTCGATCGTCAGTCTCTAGTCAATGTTACACTAAAGATACACACCAAGTTTCACGGTAATCGGTTAGTTAGATTCCGAGATATCTTGCACGCCATTTCTAAAAACCTAGTTTCGAGGAAAACGCTAGTTTAAAGTTTCAGAACGTCATTTTCCATATGTGATTTTACTTACTTTTTTTACTTATATATCGCGGTTCACAATTTTTACAATTCACAACTAAATTGAATCCAAGTCCACTGTTATATTCGATACACGATTTACGATAATACTGCTTGTAAGTTGTAAACAGTGATACAAATTCAATTATTCTGTATCCGCGGATTTATTATTATACCTCAAAATATAAGTCGTTTTGAAGGCTATGGCCTTTTGTATCTTATTTCTAAGACTTCAAACTACTATTTAAAGCAAAACAAAGAAATCGAAATTTTTTGAAAATTTCACACTGTCCTGATCCCCTTAAATAGTAACAATTTATAAATCAATATTCGTTTGTTCGTTTAACGATGCAGAGAAAATACGATCCTGTCAAAAAGTCTTTGTGCTTTGGGTTTTGAAATTATGCAAAGTCGTACAAAAAAATATAGACACAGAATCTTCAAATGAAGATTCGGTCCGCGAGAAAAAGGAAAGATGTCAAATTTTGTTCGTCTGCGTCGAATCGAACTCTTCTCAGTTTCACATTCATTTTCATAACATAAATAAGTGGCGACGTTGTTCATTAAAAAGTTAATTTTTCCCAAGAAAACCTGACATTCAGCGGTCTCTTTAAATTCGACTCGGCTCGTTGCAATATCCAACGATCGCAATTCCATTCACAATCAATTCATAAATATTCGCCATCTTCCGAAATGAATCGCAACAGAACAATGTAGAAAACACGTGGCGCTCGAGGCTCGAGACAAATCGCGTAAATTGCAAGCCTCTTTCGAAATTGTCCTTGAACGGCGATCAAGCCCGCTCGTTTCGCGGATTAACGATCCGAGCGCGAGCGCTCATTATCGCCGACACGTCGAATTTTTGAGACATCGAGGACCATCGAGGAACGGGGCGAGCCGCGACACGAATTTTCACATCGTGGAAACCTGGCCCTCTCGTCCCTTATCGCACCAGCGAAACGTTTTGTAAGGCTGTCACTTTGCGATTCGAACGTTGAGAGTTGGATGTTTACAAGGGTGGATGGGATCGAATGAAATTTGGAAGAGCGAAAAATGATGTTCTTCTTGATTCTTGATAATTTGGTCAATCGAGGGTGGAAAGTTGCAATTGAAACATAGGGGTTATACATTTCTTTTTGGACGCTGATTTATCGATTGTATTTTACAATATTTGATTACATATAGATTTTATACATTTTCTGTAATTTTATACATTGATTACAATTTTATATGATTCTATCATTTTATGTATTAATAATAAGTAAGAAACAATTTGTTATTTAATATGTTACTTATTTTATATTATTTTATATTATGTGTTTATATTAATATGTTATTTATTTTATATTATTTTATATTATGTGTTTATATTAATATGTTATTTATTTTATATTATTTATTTACGTTATTTATTTTACATTATTTTATATTATTTATTTACGTTATTTATTTTATATTATATTATATTATACTAACAATCTGTTATTTAAACGCGCCTCAAAATTAGCAAGAAACAATTTGTTATTTAATATGATATTTATTTTATATTATTTTATATTATTTTTTTGTTATTTATTTTATATTATTTTATATTTTTTATTTACGTTATTTATTTTATATTATTTATTTATGTTATTTATTTTATATTACATTATACTAACAATCTGGTATTTAAGTTCCAAAGTTAATAGCAAGAAACAATTTGTTATTTAATATATCTTTCTTGCTCGTCCTGTTTATTAGCAAACAGAGGTGAAAAAGAAGAGTGTTTATGAATGAGAGGTGATTGTCACATCAGACGTCGTAATTTGGATGGGAATTACAAAGAAATTACGGGCATTAGTATTCTGAGGTTAATGATGCGAGTGACGAGGCGAAAATGTGGAAAAAAACGCTCAGTGAGAGGTCAAGTGTTCATTACTGTTTCTTTCTTCCTCGGTCTACATCTGATTTGCAAATTTCTCTCGCGATTTCTCTTCCTCCATAGAGTAATTTTTAGTAAATTATTAAATATTCCCCTCTATATTAACACAATTCTTTTTCGTAAATATTATTCAGCGAATTTTCCTCAATATTTTGTACGCTGGAGAAAATTTTAAATTTAGAGGTTCTGAAAATTGCAGGCAAGCTTCTTTTTCAAAATCTCTTTGTCGATAAAATTTTTGAAGTTTTCATCTGAAATGTCGATGTGATATTTCGTACGTCGATAATATTTTGCCTGTCGCTGTAACAATAACAGTCGCAACGAATTTTACCTATATCATTGTTTGTTATCTTGCGTTTGCATTCACACGCGTGTTTGATAAATTGGCGCACGCTAGATCGTGTGACTTTCGTTTTATGTAACTGAGATACGCTTAATAACGGGACATAAAATTTCGATCGTGTCAATTAATCGTAGATATTTTTGGCTGGTTGCAGGTGTTTCTTAAACTGATAACATCGTATAAAAAAAAAAGGATAGTTTTTCGAAACAAAATATTACTCTCTGCAATTTCACGTGGGAATGTTTCACGGAACGAGAGAATTTTTGTATATTAAGCAGACAAAATACTTTGATTATTTCTCAGAAAATATTATTTCTGAAAGATAATCTCATCTCCAAATTTTTCAAATTTAATATCTATTTTTATTATTCATTTTTCTGTATCAACTGTAAGGTCAATTATTAATAATAACCAATGGTTCGAGGTAATAATCAATGTTTCAAGTTTCCCCTATAAATTTTCATCCGTTAAAATATGAGTATAATTTCGTAATACAAAAGAAATCTTTCTAAAAGATAATAATCTTTGGATTCAAACTCTGTCTCATACAAAAAATCACGTCGATAAGTGAATAATTATCAAGTGCGACGATAAACATTTCAAATGTTTTGATCCCTTAAGCTCCAAAAATTTTCATCCCAAAATCTGAGTATAATCTATACCAATAGTGAACAGAGTAGAAAACAATTTTAACTTTAAATTCTCCAACAAATGTATCCACCATCGTAATTTTCTTACGTATACAAGTTTCCCAATGTTCGAAATTTTCTTACATTGATTTCCTAAAATATTTTCTCAGCTCACTTTCTAGCTTATTTGCGAATAATAATTGCCAACTTAATTACTCGCTGATAACTAACGTTTCAAATTTCCCGCCGCTTGGAAATCCTGAAGAGGGAAATAAAATATTCACGCGTCCCAAATTTGTTTGTCGAGGGAAACTCCAAGAGTCCTAGCGGTCGTCGATAAAACAGATAACCGCGATTATCGACACGGGATTTAGAATTTCCCGTTAACCGCGAATTTCGAATTTCCCGATGCATTCCCGATGAAACATCACCGATTATCGTTTCTTTCAGAATCTACGAGCGATCTCGTCACTGCGGCGAACAGCGCGCTCTTAATCCTCTATAATCTACTGTAACATTCAGGTAAAGTTCCAACTAAATAGTATGCTATACTTGTCGCCAGTAATTTTGATTTGTTGCGTTTTCTTTTTTCTTCTTTTTTTTTTTTCTTTTTTTGTCGTTGTTGTCTTCGGAATGCGCCAAGTAGTCGCTAATTTTTTTTCTAAAACGCTTCGGTCACGACCACATCGCCACAGTGTTCACGTTCTTTCTCTACTCTTCTTCTACTCTTTCGTTTCTTTTTTTTCTTTTTCTTTTTCTTTTTCACGCGGGCACGCAGGTTGACACAGATCTCGTTCTGCATGTTTGTTTACATAGCAAGTAGCTCTGTGTCGCAAGTTAGTTGAGATTCTACTTGTTTGCAGTTGTAACTTAGTGCAGCCTTTAATTTAAGGATGAATTTGAGTTGTACGGATGTTTAGCGAGTAGGCGTTTAGATTCAGCGAAATAGATTTCAGTCAAATGGAGTTTACTGTTGATCCTGGGTCATTAGTTTTTTTGACAAACGTTGTTTCGACGAGTCGTTGTGGAGAAAAGAAGAAGATCAAGAAGAACAAAGAAATTAAAGAAAAGAATTGGAAATTTAAATTTCAGAATGAGGAGGATTTGGTGTTAATCGTCAATTGGTTTTATAATAAAGTATTATTATAATTGTATGTAGGTTGTTTTATAATAAAGTTATGTATATAGGTTATTTTATAATAAAGTTATGATAAAATTATAAAAGATTATAAAAAGTTTGCATTAGGATTTGTATTAATAATAAAAACTCACCTGTTCTATTTTTCATCGTTGTGAATCTTTGTGAAATCGTATCATTTGATTCACTGTAAAGTAAAGGGATGCTCTCGCATTGAATAGAAAATCGTCGAACAATTAATATTTAAACAGAATTCACTTCATTCTACGAATGGAAAAAAAAGAAGAGATTTACGATTGAAAATATTGTCACATCTTGTTGTGTATCTATTATTTTTCTCGAGTTTTTTTACTGCACTTTCAAACGAAGACATCAGAAACGATCACAACGTTTTCTTTCCCCCTTCGTTGATATCGCACAGAGATTTTTATCACGTTTAATTCACGCTCGAAACTTTTCAATTTCGCTCACGTGTTAACCGTCGTTAACCGTCTTAGAATCTGTGCGACTCGAAATTGAAGTTTCATCATTGATATAATAGAGTCGGCTGAAAATAGCTGGGCTAAGAAATGGCACGGACACATGCAAATTCTATTTTCAAGACAAGCTCGATAAGGGCAGTGATTATTTTCCCTGGAATTTGCAATTTTTCGTTAAAACTAAAAGAGAAAGGGGGACAAACGCGAGTGCGTTAAAGAAACGAATTGTTTGAGAGAATGGAGAAATTTACATTTATTAATCTGTGCTTCTTTTATTAATCCAAGCTGGGTCATTTTATTCTTATCTTTTAACGAAATTGAATTGTCAGGCATTTCAGTTTCATAGTTTTTTTTTCTGTGGTTAGGTACTTTTAAATGATACGAAATTATGATATGGAAATATGGCTTAATTACATAGAAAAATAGTTGAAATTATACTGCGTCAGATAATGAAAAAGAAAATTTTATAATAACGAAACGTTTTAAAATTTTTTTATGAGAAATTTGAAAATACACATGATAGATATAGAATGTATAAATGAATATCTTCTATAATATATAAAATCTTCATATATAGTAATATATATCTATCATATATCCTATATAATATATTATTATACTATAGTTTATTTTATACTATATTATTATAGTATGCAAAATCTTTTAATATGTAAGACAAATATTTTTTTGTTGAAGCTCAGGCTCCTTTATTGATCTCCATAAATTCATCGCAATACTAATAAAATTTCAAAATGCTTTATATAACACGTACGATATATACTTTCATAAAATATTTGAATATATTCACGAGACACTTCATATTTTATAAAACGTTTACAAAAACACATTCATATTTATTCACTCAAAACACGCACCATGTAATATACACAACTTCTTCTATATAACACGCACAATACATTCATAAAAGTTATTTACAAAAGTTCTAAATGTACTTTCGTGAACCTAACATGTCCGATAAAAAATTTACAGAAAAAATTCATATTTAGTTGCTGGAAACACGCACGATGCAATATACAATCAATATATTCATATATATATATACATTATTTATATATATTTATATAATTATTTATTTATATAATTATTAATTATTTATCTATATAATTATTAATTTATATTATTTATATAAATTAATTTATTAATTTATATTATTTATATACATATATATTACACTCATAAAAATTATCTACAATTCGAATTCATGTCTTGTAAAAAATTTACAGATTTTATACTTCAAAGACACGCGATACAGGATACAATCGATATATTCATAACACAGGCACACGCACACGCACACACACACGAATCATGAATCACTTTGTGATTCACAGAAAGTTTATACAGAAACAAATTCCTACTCGTTCAACCAAAACGAACGACTGATTCCTACTGATTCTCTTTCTTACTCGGTTACACGTTCTCGGCAAAGGAGAAAAAAAAAAAGGAAGAAACGCTTTGTGACAACCGTGTAAAATACGTTCCCAGACAGAATTCAAGCAGCTGAACTTCCTTCCTCTTTTTCTCGCGACGGGGGGAGGAGGAGGGGGGGCAAAGGACACCTCGAAGACTCGGTCGAAGAGGAGAAAAACGTGGGCCGGAGTTTCGGCCGAGGGAAAGAGCCCATCATCTCTTCTTATCTACGTCTACGGTCATCTTAGCGTATTCAGCGACACGCGCTAATTATATTGCTCATTATGCAAATCGAATCCTCTCAGCATTTGTATCGCAGCCGCGTTTACGTTCCTCGCCATTTTTAGTCTCTCGCACGCCGCGCCTCGAATAGCAACTAACAAACGCGCGCATTTCTCTCTCTCTCTCTCTCTCTCTCTTTTCCTCTCTCGTCCTCCCCCATCTTGCGCTGTTTGTGCAAGTGTCTTGCATCCACCGTCTCTGAAAATCTCGCCGATTTTCTCCGAAAACGTTCCAATATTTCTCCGGGGGGAAACACCACGTGTCACAATCTCAGAAATTCAGCCCTTTGAGCGACTCGACGAAAATTGTCGAAAGCCCGAAAGTTGACACGAAAGGTGAATTTTTCGACGAAATACAAAATTACGTAGAACGTGAATGCGGATGAAAGAATGTACAATGTTCACTGTGATATTTAACCTCTTGCCGTTGGAATGACGCACGTTCGAGAATTTTTTTTTGTCCCAGAATTGCAGTATTTCCTCAGTTTCGAGTATATTTGAGCGTAACCCAGGCAGAACAAATAATAAATTTATTACCTCTCGGATTACTTAATTGAAATTTCTATCCGGTGACATCGTATCGACGAGTTCAAAAAAGAAAGCGACGAATTATTGTATACAGTTTGGTCACTCGTTATGGTCCGCAATCAGTTGCCAGCGCAAGTGGTTAACACGTTCAATCTTTTTTTTTTTTTCATCATAGAACAAAGTATGGAACACCTCCAAAAAAATAAAAACTCGTAATGTAACCCAAAATTTCTATCAAACAATGCCTACCAACAACATGAGAAGAAAAGACAGAAATAGTCACGACAAGGCTTAGAACAGGACACTGCAAACTCGCACATGAGTATCTATTTAAAAAAACAGAACCCCCAATGTGTGTCCAGTGCAACCGAATTTTATCAACCCATCATCCTCTATTTGAACCACGCTCAAAGGCAAAAAATACAAAATAACTTCCGGCAGCCCAGACGTCGCAGAAACACATAGGAAATGTTCTGAACTATCTAAAAGAAACTGACTATCTACCATAAGATATAATCGTCTTGAAAAGAAGGAAACAGTACCTAGCCGTCGCTAATGATCAGAAGGTAGATGCGACGTTAATCGTAAATTGAAAAACAAAAAAAAAAAAGAAGAAAAAGAATACTTTTTTCCAATAACAAATGCGCGGTGTATATCGCCACGCGAGCGAAATTATGAAAAACAAAGAAATCCCTGTTATCAAGGAATAACTAACGTCGCGCCGCCACGACAGCTATGAAATAATGCTCGTAGAGTATCTTGCAATTTATCGAAACGCCAGGGACCCGGCCGAGAGATTTCACGTGTGCATTACGGTCCATAAATTCGAATTTACATACCGAGAGAAGAAGAGAGCCGGAACGTGGAAATTGAACGTTCTCTCGTGGGTCGAGGCGAAGTTTTCGACGCTCGGGAATAGTTCCCGAAACGATTCCGAAACGTGTTATTAAGCTGACGTGGAGAGGGTGTTTTTTTGTGGAGCGAGAGCCTGCTCCAGGTACCTCCTCGCGGCTCATTCTCGACTAATAAGTAGTGATCTTAATATCGGCTCGATGTTTAGTTTATGACTTAAGGACAGGTCTACCGCTGGTATGCGCCCGATGGTTTATTAAGATTTGTGGATTTACGAAATTCCCTCTTGGTCCTTCGAGATGCTCGCGATAACTCTTGAAAAAAAAAAGAAAAGAAAAGAAAAGAAAATTCGTGGCGTGCCGTTTCGTGTGGCTTGTACCGATATTTCATCAATGTGAATTATACGGTTCCTTAAATTCGTGAAATTATAAAGCGAAGGCAGGGGTTTAGGAGTTCAATTTCAGTTTCGGTTTATATCGGAATATTTTTAAATATATATGTACGTATATACTACTGAATTTAAATATAAATGTGTAGTCAAATATTGAGACTATGGTACTTCTTTTTCAGCTACAATAATTTCTATGAAACCGTAAGAACATTTTAACCTTCTTTTTTTGACTACAGTAATTTCGATGAAAGTATAAGAAGTCAGTTATAAAAAATAAAATTATGAATTGGAAGTGATTTTTAAAATTGTATAGAAATAAAATTTCATGTTTCCAGTGGTTTTCAAAACACTTGAATATTCAATAAAATAAATATGATAAATTGTATTAAATTGCACGTTAAATAGATTACTGCTTGCATATA